TGTGTCCACCTGACCTACTTCCTCTTCCTGAGGCCCCCACAACCCTCCTAGCCTGCAGTGGTCAGGCCTGTTACGCACCCTGCAGCTACTCTTCACCCAGAGTCTGCTCAAAGGCTGGGCAGGTCAGATGGCCTCCTGCACTGTGGCTGTGGGCAGGCACCGGAACCTGACACTCTCCATTTCCTCCTCAGGAACAGGAGGCTGAGCACACCCTTTGGCTTGAGTGCCCAGGTCTGTGTGTACTCTGGACAGCCAGGTATGTTCCCACAGCCTCTGAAAAGCTGCTCATGGCAGCGCCCTGAGGCCCCAGGAGAGAAGTGTGGATCCTAACCCTGGGCCCTGACCTCTCCTTCAGGCAGGGGCACAGTAGGTTTGCTCTAGGCTCCCAGATCCACGCCATGGGTTCTTGGCTGAAGTTCCCATTCCCCCTGTACACCTTGCATTCCTTCAGAGAGCTTACACCTCCACTCCAAATTCCCAGCACTGACCCCCTCCCCAGTCCCCAAGGACATTCCTGGTGTTTTAGTCTGAGGTCCTGCTGCCTACTCCATAATCCAATGTCTACCAGACCCAGTGCTGGGCTCTCCCTCTGGTCTCAGCACTTGACACGTTCTTCCTTCATAAACTGCATTCAACCCTCAGCCATTTAATGAGCCCCTACTGTGGCCAGGCTCAGAGGTAGGTTCCTGGAAGGTTAAGTAAGGGGCAGTCTCAGACTATAATCACCTTTCAGTGTGGTGAGTGCTGGAAGACACAGAAGTGCACTACTGGTTGATGGGCTGTCGTCCAGGGCATGACCACAGCTTGGCCTCGGACAGAGAGCAGCACCTTCTAAAGAGAATCTGACTGTGAAGCTGACCTTGAAGGATGGGATGTCAGCCAGCAAAACCAAAAACCAAATTACCCTATAGGGATCCAAAAGCCCTTGGGGCTCTTACTGCCCAGGGCCATCATCACCCATAATCTGACTCCAATTGAACCTGTCAGACTCCAGATCTGAGGTCACCTGTCCCTCTGAGGAGCCCCACAGAGGGCTGAGTTTATGGTAGTTCACTAGTATCGACTATTTGGCATTCCACAGTTTCAGTTACCCACAGTTAATCTGAAAACATTAACTGGAAAATTCCAGAAATAAACAAGTCATGTTTGTTTGAGTTTTTTTTTTTTTTTTTGCAATGTTGGAATCCAAGGAACCCAGAGCCTGTGTATTTAAGCAAGCACTCCTCAGCCCTCAATTCATAACTTTTAAACAACTATTATTACATTGTCACAATTGCTCTACATTATTAGCTGTTCATCTCTTACTGTTCTGAATTTACAAATTAATTATCATAGGTCCACACATACAATATGAAGGTAGACTATGGAAAAACATAGTGCCCGTAGGGTTTAGCATTCTGCTCACATTCCAAGCTTCCCCACCATAAAGCATGTTCTAGACTAACATCCCTCAACGTGTGGTCTCCAGACCGGCTGCTTTAACAACAGTGGATGCTTATTAGAAATGCAGAATTTCAGGCCCATTCCAGGCGTCAGGAATCCGACTCATCTTGTATGCACACTGAAGTGGGACAGGCTTTGCCCTCCATCCCGATGCCAACTTCCACAGGTCTTCGGCTTCCTCTTCTCCCTCTGGTGCCAGCTGTCATCTTTTGGAGCATTTGACATTCATGCAATGAACTAACGCCAGCCTCCAGAGCATCCACTCACAGACAGCATCACCTCAGCCTGCACAAAAGACAGCTCTCCCATCTGTAGGACTGCTGGAAGACAAGTGTCACAGGGCAGGCAGTGGCTAACAACCAGCACTGCCTGAATAATCGGTACGTGCCACTGTGTCATCATGGAATTTCCATAGGAGGTTTAGAGTTGGAGGTACCACAGTTGTTTCCAGTGTGGAGAAGAGAAAAACTGAGACTAGGGGGGCTCAATCAGGGTCACGGGGGGGGGCAGAGTCTATAGACAGTCCCCAGCTTACAACCTGCACTAAGGTAACACTGAGCACCACACAAGGCAGAGCCAAGGGTGTGGGAAGAGCCTGGGCGCTGAGTATGGATATATGTGTTTCAAGGGGGAGCAGTCATCTGACAAGGGCCTAGATGGAAAGGGGAAAGTAGTACAGACAGCCTCCCATGACAGGCTGAAGAGGTGACAGTGAGGTTACTTCCAAAGGAGCAGGCATTCAAAAGCCCCTTTCTCCGCTGTCCATCCCACTCTCTCACCCTGCAAACCTACCACTTGGGACTAGCCCCAATCCTCCTGGTATGGCAAATGCAGTCAGACTCCCAAGTACCTGGGCTCCATCTGCTGCCTGCCCAATCACACAGCCCTGGGTCTTCCAAGACCCCTCCCTCCCAGCATGGGAAACCTCCCAAGTATCTGTGGTTCCCTGCCCATACACTGGGTCCTAGCTACAGGAGCTCATGAAAAGTCGTAAGGTGGGCTTGACCAGCCCTTCAACAAAGCCTTTCATTAGCATATAATCATGCAACAAGAAACCTGCCTTTATGATTGAAAACATTTAAGACTGGCCTTACATTAAAACAAAAAATGTTAAAATTATAATGCTTAAAAATTCTTGTAGTATTAATAGACTGAAAATAGGTCCATAACACTTTGTGAAATGCGGATCTATCCTGGAGTTGAGTCCAGGTGCTCTACCTTTGGTGGTCTATGAAACACATCTCGGCCATCACCAGGGAACTTTGGAAATGCAGAAAATGGGACCCATCCTAGCACCAGTGAGTGTGCAACTCCATTTCAACACAGGAACTTGGGAAGGCCTGGAGCAGGGCAATGGTTTGCGGGGCTGGAGAAAGATGGGAGAAGGTAAGGACAGGGGGCACCAGGTCACACAGAGCCTACAGGGAATGAGCTGATCCCTGTGCTTTTTAGGGGATCACTTTCTGAGGGTAATCTGAAGCAGGAATGGGAGGGCCTGTTGTGACCATAAGCAAAGGCAGAGGGAGATGGGAGAAGTGTATGAGGGGAAGAAAGGGACAGGCTGGAGAATGGATTTCTGAGGTGTGATGGGCAGGATGTATCCAGGGCTGGTGTGGGGACCAGAGAAGGGTGACTTTGGAGTTTCCAAGCTGGCAAGTTCATCGATAATGAAGAGGGCATTTTTAAGAAAGAAGTGATGAGCTATTGTGGACATCGGAGGAGAGACTTGGGAACACTCATGGTGAGATGTTCAGCAGTGCTAGACTGAATAGGACAGAGATGACCGAGCCAGAGGCACAGATCTAGGAATGTCTGAAGATGGGATTAGGTGAGTCCACCCACAAAGGCCTGCAGGACAGTAGAGCAGAGGACAAAGGAATGACAGGAAAAGATAAGCCAAAGTAGGATGGAGGAGGAGGGAAAATAGCATCACAGAAGCCCTGGCACAAAGAGGAACTTCTCCCTCATAGCCACCACACAGACACCAAATTGACTGACATATGAGAACTGGACCCTGGTCCTGATAAGTGAGCAGTGTGCAGCCATCACAAAGGAAGTGTTGGTCAAGGGCAGAGAGGGAAATCTGGTGAGTTCAGGCCATAGACAAAGCTAAGGCTGCTATATAAATCCCAAAACATTCACCTCTTTTGCACACCTAAGCTTCTTCCAGCATTATTCATAACAGCCAAAAAGCAGGAGCAACCCAACTGTCTGCTGACAGACACGTGAATAAACAAAACATATTGCACACACACAGCCTTTAAAAGGAAGGAAGGAAATGCTGCCACGTGGGTAAACCTTCAAAATGTTATATGAAATTAACAAGTCACAAAAGGACATGTATGATTCCACCCATATGAGGTACTTAGAAGCGTCAAACTCAGTCAGAAAGCAGAATGGGGGTGGCCAGGAGCCAGAGTGGGAAATTATTGGATGGGTATACAGTCTCTGTTTTACAAGATGCCAGGAGTTCTGTGGATGGTGGCGGTGATTCCACAACAATGCCAACACATTTAATGCCACTTACCTGTGCACTTAAAAGTAGCTAAATGGTGGGCTGGCAGAGTGGCTCAAATGGTAGAGTGCCTGTCTAGCAAGCATGAAGGTCTGAGTTCAAACCCCAGTACCAATCCACCCCTGAAAAGGTTTAAATGGCAAATTCTAAGCTATGTATATTTTGCTACAATTTAAAAAACTAATGTCTTTACTTCATTATAGGGATAAAAAACATGACTGCCTGGAATTGAATGACCAGGCTGGCAAAAAAGGTCAGAACAAATCTTTCTGTCACTGTTGACTGTGGGAGGAGGCTTGACAGTGGGAAAGGAAGAAGTCGGGTGGGGACCTGAAGGTGAGGCTGACTTGGGAAGACTTTCCTCCTCTAGCTGGTAGGAGGTTAGCAGTGACATTGAGTTTTCTCAGACTGGAGGGAAGAAAGGAAAAAGATGAAGAAGAGCAGGTAGAGGTGAAAAGGCTCCCTCAGATGTCTCAAGCACCAAAGGGCAACAAGTGGAAGCAGTGGGGTCATCTGGAAAGATAACGGACAAGGAGAAGGCTTGGAGAGAACAGAAAGGTCCCACGGCTGGGAGGGGTGCAGAGGAAGGACCTGAAGGGCTAGCTGTAAGGTACTGAATACATTATCAGCAACCCCATCACCAAGCCCGGGGCAGTGTCCTTAGGGAAAGTGTGTGCACCAGTGGCTTCCAGAGAGCTGTCGGAAATGCAAATTTTCCTGTTCCACCTGAAAGTCTGACTCAGACCAATGGAATCAGAGCTCTGAGAGGGACGCCCAGCAGCCTGTATCTTACCAAGTCCTCCAGGGGACTGTGGTGTGCTAAAGTTTGAGAACCACTACCACAGAATATAGAGATTCAATAGAAGGTACATAGAATCCTTTTTATATGAAAATTTAAAAATCGACATTTTAAGAACTTCTACATAAAAGAGCAGGAAATGCATAATTGCTTCAAAGCCAATGCAACTTGTTTTTACAGTGAGGGAAATGCCAAAGGACAGTAACAAATAATAAAAACACACGGCCTGTCTGATACACTTACTTGGATGAGAGCTGGAAGGAAACATGCCCAAATTCTGGGGGCTGGAAATGGGAGGATGTAGGTGCCAGTCCTTGCTCTGTCACTGACTAACTGTGTGCCCTGAAGTGTCACATCCCTTTCAGGGCCTCAGCTTCCCCATCTATAAAAGGAGGAAGCAGGAAAAGGTTATTCTAAGACCTCTTGCAGTTCTCACACTGTAAAAGGTGACATCAAACTAAATACTTTTACCTGTCTGTGCCTGGGAAGAAAGTCCATTCTTAAGCAGTAAAATCTAACAGAACAGTTAACTAGAAAGTCTTCCCAATGCTCGCTGGTGCCAGTACCTTGCATGCTAAGAACTAGAACATTCACTAACTGGCTTTTCCATTAAAGGTATCCAGAGTTATTAACACAGAATGCCTTGGACAATATTATTCAAGTCCAGATGACCCAGATTCTTCCCAGAAAATAGCCTCATATCTCCACATTTTTATCATCCAACACTTCTTTAGTCCAGAATGTCAAGGTTGGGAAAGGGGGTGTAGCTCAAGTGATAGAGCCTATGCTTAGCAGGATGTTAAGGTGGGTGTTTTCTTCTAGACTAAAAATGAGCTGCAGAGCCTGGGCACATGGATCCCAGAACCTGATACTGACCAGTGTCTGTACATTTGGCATTACTAATCTAGGTTTCCTAGTAAGTGGCCCTGAAGAGACCTTGTTACCAGGATCCTTCAAGGCTGTTTCCTGCCTGGATTCTCTGCCTCCAAGTCCCCGTCTGCAGCTACTGGTCATCTAAGCCCATCCTCTTGTGCCTAGGTCCCTCATGTGACCTGCTTTCCTCCATCTGCCAAAGGCCAGAGACTTGGTTCTGATCTCAGAACTAGGGCTGGAAGAGAGGCAGGTGTGGTGCAGGAATGACAAGTGGAAGTGTGAGCACTAGGGTACAGAAGATAGGTCTAGAGAGACTGGGCCTCCTGTCCTGCCTTGCTGACACTGACACACCTTGGAGTTTGCACAGTGGGCAGCAGAGCTGGCTGGCTTCTCCCTAGGTGCTTCTACTGCCAACTCTGCCCTGCTCCTGAATCCAGCCTGGGTATGTAGTGAGGGCCAGACTGTCCTGGTTTCCGTGGCAAGAAAGGAGGTGAGGGATGCAGAAAGGCTGGTATGGCAGGGGCAAATCTCAGGAGAGGATGGCCACAGAGATGTGGGATAAAGCCACGAGCACTGGGCCCCAGGCAATGCCAAGGAGATCAATCTATCAGTTTTACTGAATTAATCCAGGTAGAGGATTCTGAGTGCTAGTTTTCCAGACTGACTCCTGTAGCACTGATCTCAAATTCAAAGTCACACTTGGGTAGAGTGACCAAATGTTCTGATTTATCTAGGCCAGTCCCCAGTGACTCTGTCAATCAAGTATTAACAGCATCTTCTTTTATTCTCAAGACATTCTAGTTTGGTTGATAAATTCTACCCATCTTTTTCTTGGGCCCCTAGGCCTGCCATGCTAGAGGTGTAGTTAGAGAAGGCTGGGAGGGGCCTCCGGGGTGAGTCTGTCCCTCAGCAAGTGCTCCATTTGCCTCACCAACATCCCTGCCAGCATCTGCTTGCATACCTCAGGGACAGTGGGCTTGCCAACTCTTGAGGAAAGCCTCTCTTTTAGGGAGAATGCCTTTGTTATAAAAACAGGATTCCGTATGATTGCAACAAATAACAACACCCCCATAAGGGAAAGGGTAGTACTGGGAAAGCCACCTCCTATCTCACCTTATCCTCATTCAGCAAGAATTTACTGAATGCATTTGATGGTCCAGGCACTGTGCTTAGCTCTGGGGACAAAACAGGCAGGCCCTAACTGAGGGGCATGTGACAAAGTAACTGGCCTGTGAGCTGCAAAAATGTCAAGGTCATTAAGGACAAAGCCAAGGCTGAAATACTGTTCTACTTTAAAAGGAGACTAAAAAGCCATGATGACTGTGTGAAACCTATCATCAGATTTTCTTTGCTACAAAAAAAGACATTAGTGAGGTGTCCACTTAGCCTGAGTAAGGTCTATGAATTAGGTCATAGTACTCTAACACTAATTTCATGATTCCAAAATTTATACTGCGGTTAGGTAAGAGAATGTCATTGCTTTCAGGAAATACATACAGGGGGGAAAGGAAGAGGTTATCAATGATCCTAGAATGGTTCAGAATATATACATGGGATAAAATGAATAAAATAAAATGGCAATTTGGAGCTGGCATGGTGGCTCACTTCTGTAATCGCAGCTACTTTAGAGGTAGAGATCGAGACAATTGAGGTTTAAAGCCAGTCTAGGCAAAAAAGTTCTGGAGATCCCCATCTCAATAAAATAAAAGATGTGGCATGGGTATGTCATCCCAGCTAGTAAGGAGGTAGAGATCAAAAGGATCAAAGTTTGAGGGCAGCCTGGGCACAAGTTCTCAACCAATATAAGCTGGAAGTAGTGGTGGCACGTGCCTGTCATTCCAGTTACTTGGGAGGCCATAAGTAGAAAGAATCACCATCTGAAGCCGGCTTGAGATAAAAACACAAGACTCCACCCCTACCTGAAAAACATAATGAAAGCCAAAAGGCTGGGGTGGGGGTGGAGGTTGTACCCATCTAGCAAGTGCAAGGCCCTAAGTTCAACCCACAGTACTACTAAAAAAAAAAAAAAAAGGAAAACGCAATTTGGCGGAATCTGGGCAAAGAGGATATGGGACTTCTTTGTTCTGTTTTTATAACTTCCCTGTAAGTCTAAATTACATCAATATAAACAGTTAAAAGGAAAAACTAAAGCTTAGAGAAAGGAGAGAGAGAGATCCTGTCTTTGCAGAGCTACCCACAGAGCTGGGGAGACAGGTACTAATACAAACAATTACACTAATAACTACAAAATTGCCACTGCAAAAAGTGCTGTCAAGGAGAGGGCTCTGGTGGCCTGAGCATTTACAGCAGACAGTTTGACCTCAACCAAGAAGGAGAATCTATAACCACTCAGCTAAGATCCAAGGGCTAAGCTAACCCAGGACGAAGGCCACCAGCCCCAGAGGTTCTGGGTCCCTGGCAGTCAAAGTGTGGTGAGACGGTGAGGACAGCTGGGGAAGCCTGGGCCTTGGCATACCGGGGCCAAGGGAGACGCTGCGGAGGTTGGATCTGTCTTTATTCCAAGAGCAGAGAAACGGTTCTAAGGACTCTGGTTGCAGAGCAGAGAACAGACAGGGGTGAAAGGCCTGTGGAGGCCACCACAGTGGTGACAGCTACCGGCTGGAGGACCATGAGCATGTTGCTTTCACTCCCTGACACTTCAACTTTTTACAACCACCATGACCACATCTGTTAAGGGTCTGCTGAGGGCACTGGCTGTGGCCTGTCTCCAGACAACCTCTGGTGAGTCCTGCCTCATCTGAGGGACTCCACACCCAAGCCAAGCGTCTCTCATCAACACAGCAGCCATCCAGGGCCCTTGTGGACTTCAATTCTGCCCTTCGACCATCCTTCAGTCCTGGGAACCAGGACACATGGCCCTGACCCCTCTGGAGTAGGCCACAGGACACAGTCCCTACAGCAACTTGGCACTGAGCACTGCCTAAAGTGCTTGCCTGGACCCCACAGGGGAGACCCACCAAAAGTGGGTCAAATTTTAGTGGGTCATTAGGTCATTTCAAACAACCAATTTTAAAGAAACAGGATGTATTATGATCATCACTTTACAGACAGATGGTCTGTCTAGGGACAGGCAGACCTGTGTTCAAATCTGAACAGTTTATGAGATTTGTGCTCTTCACATGTCACTTCATCTCTCTGAGCCTGTTTTACTCACTCCATCTGTAAAACGGGTCTGGTAGAAATAAGCAAGATTCAGAGGCCAGAAAGCACCATTTGTTCCCCTTCGGGACGAAAGAGGCTCAGTACAGAAAATTCACTCCAAATCCCACACTGCATAAACATTTGCTAAGAGCTTGTGTATCCTGACAGTAAATCATGGGACCTGAATTTTTCCAGGACTATCCCAATTGCAAATCCTCTGTCCTAACTTTCCACATAAACCATCAAAATGTCTCAAAAATTCCACTCTCTCAGTATCCAAACACCTCCCAGGCCTCCCCTTGCACAAAGCAGCAGCATTCTCTTTCAGATTCCAGATCCCAGTCTTTGGTTCAGAAAATGTAGTCAGCAAGACCCTCCTGGCCCCCTGAAGGAAACAAGGTCAGGAGAAAAACCCACAGTTGTCAGCATTCCCTCTGGCTCTCAGATCTGGCTGTTTCCTGGCCTATCTGTGTCAGCTACAGCCAAAGGTGGCTGTACCATGATTGGAACACCACCCACAGAGGGACACAGGCTAGGTAATAAGTTCTGCTCCACCTACCTACCAGCAGCCAGGACTGGGAAGGCAGCAGGGCCAACAGGGTTACTGTGAAGATTAAAAGAGTAAGTTAACATTTGGAAGGTGATCAGAACAGTGCCTGGCAGCCAGTAAGGACCACAGTAGTGTTGAATGACTAAAACCAGAGACATACCTGACAGAAGTGGCTCTTGCCTCAAAGACAACCCAAAGGCATCTCCCACCTGGAGAAACCAAAAGAATCAGCACTTACCTCTACATTGGGGGAGACCTGGCCCTGTACAGCAACGGGGAAGCACCCCCCCTATAGGAATAAGTCATGCACTAGCCAAAGTCAAGAGGCTGGCCCTGAGGTAGTGTGCACATGTGGTCCACTACCTGGGAGGCTGAGGCAGGAGGATGTCCTGTGCCCAGGAGATCAAGGTCAGCTTGGGCAACAGAGGGACCCCCGAAAAAGAAAAAAGCAGCAGCAGCTGTTGTCAGAGAAAGGCCACCATGCTTAAAATACACAAGGTCTCTTCGTGCCTCTGCACCTTAGCTCCTGCCTTTTGGCTACTCTAAATACCATCTTTTTCTACCTTCAAGGATTAATGCAAATGTCAACTATTCCCTATGGTATTTCCGGATGCCTATCACAATGAATGGCTGCCTTCCTTAAGTGTCTCTTGCATCTGGCTTAATCTCCCTTTAAAGCAGCTATCAGATGGATGGGTGGATGGATGGAGACAGGCACACACACCACACCATCTTCCCAACTCCACCATGAATCCTTCCACAGGACCAGCATGGGTCTCTGCAGCCCTTCGGCCTGACACATGCACGAACTTAGCAAACATCTGCATTTGTTGTCCAATCTGTGCTCACAGCTGGCCTTAGTACAACTAGTTAGTGTGGAGGCGGGAGGCTTCCTGTAAAGGAGAGATCTCTGGGTACTAGGAGTCATGGCCAGATCAGATTTCAGCCGGGGGGCCTACCAAGTGCTTCATTTAAGTCTCCTTACAGCAGGAAGAAAGAAGACACCTGTTAAGATCAGGGCCTGAGGTCACCTGGGCCCGGACAGGAATAATGTGGACATGACCTGGTCTAATCCCCTCTGTGGTAAACTTGGAAAGCTGCCTAGAGAGCGACCCCACCCCCACCAGCTCAGCCCTAGCCAGGTGAGGGTATGTGCTGAGTGCCTTTGGCATTCCAGCCCCAGCAGCAGACCCCGGGAAGAGATGAAGAGGGATCAGCCCTGCTTTCCAGGAATTCGTGGTCTGGGGCAAGAAGGTGAGCCCTCGGATTATGGTAAGAGGAGCTTTCCTGAGTAAAAGGGGGGTAAAGGTGGGGGTGGGGTGGGAATCATTGATCTCTTCTCAACCTGCCATAGTTCCTTAGAATTGGAAGGAGAAGTACCATGTTGTCTTGCTCTCCCCAACCCCAAAGCTGGGCCCCTCTGGTAGGTTATATCCATTCTAGAAAACACTACCCCTTGGGTGCCTGGACCCATACTTCAGAAGGTTATAAGTAGTCCTCCTGCTCCTGGTCCCACTCTAGCTCACCTGCCAGGGGGAAGGAAGGCAATAATATTGTAACTGAACTCTCAGTCCACAGCCAACAATCAAGCACTGAGACCAATTACCATCTTAGAACCCTAACTGCTATGGGGGATAAGATTTGTCTATGAACTGACCTAGTCCCTGAGACCTGAACAACAATGTTAAAAGCTACCAGAGCACATCTGATGTAACAGGCCAAATGAAGGCTCGGAGCCACAGTGATGACAGGACCATGAATGACTCCAAGGTAACCTGGGCTCTTTTTCTTACCCCAAGTTGTGCCTGAGAGTCTACCAAGTGCCTGACCTAGCCTGAAGTGCAGGGAAGTCCAGCCAGGCACCCTGGATTTCAGGTTGGGGTCCATTGGTCTACTCAGTACAGTATCCACCCCCCATCACTGCCCCTGCCACACAGAAGTAGCTCAGTAATTGCTTGCTTGCGGCCTGCCTCAGCTACTCCAAAATGCCTTCAATAACCTGACCTTTTACATGTCTAATGTCTAATCTGCATACATGAGGCCCTTGTAGGAGAAGGCAAATCACCAGAGACAAGGCAGGATCAATACAGAGTATGAGGCATGTTTTATTCTACTCTAATTCTCTGCAAATTGATATTCCATTAACTGTATGCGAGATTTATAGGTGCTCACTATAAGCTAGAATACTTAACTAGAGTGGGCTGCTGTGTCAGATAATAGCTTACTGTTAATTTCCAACTAGTCAATATAGTCTTCATCTCGATTTCACGTCATCTATGTGAAGGTCTCAATACAACAAAGAACAGCTCAATTCAGAAGAAAATGCCCTAGGAACCAGGAGACTAGGGTTACACTCCAACCAAGCAACATACTGTGTAACTGGCTGCTCAGAGCTTCAATTTCCTCATCTGTAAAACTGGTAACACCAGCCTCACAGAGAGAGTTGTAAAAACTAAATGAGATGATATATGTACTCTGCACAGGCCTACACGGTGATGCAAAGGTTAGTTACCATACAGGCAAAAGATGAAATTCTCAAACAACTCCGGGTGATGAGAGAAAACAGGGATTATCTAAAGTAGCAGTTCTAAAGGGGATGGGGGAGTGAGACACATTTTGCCTGCTAGGGGACATCTGTCAATGTCTGGGGGCAATTCTAGTTGGCACAACTTGGGGAGAAGGACTGCTACTGGAATCTGTTGAGTAGAGACCAGGAGTGTTGCTGAACACCCTACAATACACATGACAGCACAAAGAATGATCAAATCTCAATGTCAATTGTGTGACACTGAGAAACCCTGATCTAAATAATCATTTGAAGTTGGGCCTGAGAGCTTTTTAGAAGAAAAATCTTCCTAAGCAGCTTAGGAAATCATCTGCTTAAACAAGATGATCCATCTTGCAAAACAGCTCTTTTTTGCAAGAAGCTGAACTTCTGGAGTTTCTGAATGCATAAAACTGCCTTTAAAGAAGATGCTCTCAGCTTACAGCACTGCGAAATTGTTTTTCCAAAGCCTCTGCCTTCAGCAGTTCTCCTGGGCAAGAAAACAGTCGTCCCCCGTCCCCTCCCTCCCCACCCTCCTGCCAAGATGCTTTCCTAATTCTTAATTCCTGGTGAAATGGGAACCGCGAGGGTCTCTAAAGGAATTAAATTCACATCATGCCAACTGTTTGCTTGCTTTGAGCCGGGCAGCGAGCCAAACACCCTCCACATAATTTATCCCACTTAATCCACCAACAACCCAGAGAAGTGGGCTTTATTACCCACTGCTTGCAAGGGAGGAAATGGAGGATCCGGGAGGTTAAACAAGTCGACCAAGGTCCCCAGCTGGCCAGGTTGGGGAGCCCAACCTGAACGAAGCTCTCCAGCTTCCCAGCCACAGGCTCAGCACCACCTCGGAAAAAACCCAGGTGTCAAGTTGTCTCAACTTCCCATGAATTTTTAAGGCATCCGCAACTTCGCAGTAAGTTGCTGTGGCAGAAAAGGGCATTTCCGGGGAACGGGGCGCGGTCACCCGCACTCCCCCACGGCAGCTTCTGGCCGCGGTTACCTGGTAGCTCGTTCCACGGCGCCCGCGGAACGGGCAGGGCTTATTGAAGCAGGAGTTCGTGCCAGGCCCAGGAAATGCCATCTCTGCAAGCCGGGGCGGCTTCGCTGGGGGCCAGCGCGGGGCTCCTTCCCCAGGGCGCGCAAGGCCAGGGGCGCAGCGGCGCCAGGCCCTCCCGGGCGCGGGCCGTAGGGCTCAGTCGGAGCGCACGCCCACGCCCGCCGCCGCCGCGTTCCGGACGCCCGCCCCGGTCGAGCCCCACCCGGCTCCGACCCGCACTCCGCCCCGGCCCCGCCAGGTGAGCGCAGCCCGGAGCCCCCTCCCCGCCCGACGTGGCGCTGGGGACCCCGGGGCCGCCGCTCCCGCCAGCCCGTCAGCCCAGGTCCGCCGCGCCCGGGGACGGTGGGGGCGGAGGGTCGCCGAGCGTGTCCCCAACCCAGCCACGCGCTCCCTGCCCCGGCCCGCGGGGGTCGCGCCGGCCCGTACCTGCAGCATCCGGGGGCGCGGGGCGCCCAGGTAGGTCGCGCGTGCGGGCGGCGCGGAAGCTCGCTCGCGGCGCGACCTGGCCGCCGTCTGAGCATGCCCAGTGCCGCCCGCGGGCGGCTCCCGCCGGCCCGGCTGGCCGCCACGAGCCCGCGCGCCGGGCGGGGGCTGGGGAGCGGGCGCCCGGCCGGCTACGGGGCGCCCCCGCCTTCGCCCCCGCCCGTGCCGGCTCGCTCCCGGGGCCACCGGGGGCTCCCCACTGAGCTCGGGCCGGCCCCGCGCTCCCCGGCATTCATTGCTGAAGCACGTCCTGAGCACCTACTGTGTGCGCGCCAGGCCCTCCGTGATTCATGCCTGGGAATGCCAGCACTGGACGCTCAACGAATCTTGGAAACGAGAAGGAGTCTGGCACGCGGTTCGTGGTCGATGCGGGGATCCCGCCGACTCCCAGGCCAGTGCTCGTCTGGTTGCACCTAAATTCCCGGGATGATCACTCTTCTCCAGGTTATAGGGCCCCCTAGCTGGTCGTGGCTCCTACTTGCCTCTTCCGCCTCCTCTCACACCTGCCTTCCTGCGGCTCCTTGAGCACCGTGCTGACCGTCGCACTCTGGGAACTTGCCCAGCCTCAGGACACTTGCACAAGCCTTTCCCTCTATGTAGGGACGTCTCTGTTTAGCTTTTCGCGTGGCTGCGCCTCTCTGTTGTACATATGTCCCCTCATCTGAGTGGCCTTCCCTGACGACCTTTCTAAATTAGCTGTGGTCTTCTGGCCACTCTCCATGTACTTTCTTTACAGGATTTAGCACTATTTATCCATTCAACAAATATTCAAACATCTACTCCAGTATTTCACATGTACATAAAAAATACACAAAAATCCTGTCCCCAGTTGGAATTTGTAGGAAAAGAGATAGGTAACAAACAGCAAATTAGCAAAGCTGTAGTGTATTAGAAGGTGTCCAGTTCTTTAAAGAAAAGGGAAAAAGAGCCAGGCAAGAAAGCTTAGGGGTGGAGGTAGTGTAGTTTTCAAAGAGACTGTGAGGCCGTGAGATCCGGCCCCTGAGCTGATGGAGCAGTCCGGTAGGGTGGCCTCATCAGGTGACATTGAGAAGGTGACATTTCAGCCACGCAAAATAAACAGGGAAGGGCATTCCTAAGCGAGGGAACAGCCAGTGCAAAGATCAGAAAGTGCAAGGCTGCTTTGGGACCGGTCAGGAGGATCCAGTGACAGATAAGTTCTCCAACTTGGCTTTTCCTCCCACTTGTTTACCTCTAAGGTGTAGCCCCTCAGGGATGTCAGCTCTGGGGCTGTGGCTCCGCCTGTCCTCGCTGCAGTGACCCAGCCCCTAACCAAGCAATTGGCACACTGTAGGGACAGAAAACGATTTGTTGAATGACAACGTGAACCAAAGGTTGGACAGATGGGGACTCTGCGGTTCCGATCCGGGTGCCCGAGGTCCAGGGAGCCATTTGTCCTATGGCCATATGGAGACCTCAGCAATCCTTGTCCCCGCGTCGCACATCCCGGGGTAGTGCCACTGCAGCGGGCGCCGCCAGGGCGTCGCGTCGGGGAATTCCACCCAGGCGCGGAGTCCCAGGGGCAGCGTAGCCCGCGCCCCGCCCCGGGCCGCCCCGGGTCGCCGGCAAAACCTGGAACCGCTGCGCCAGCGCAGCACCGTTCGGACGGGCGGGGAGCGCACTGGGCATGCTCTGAGCCGGCCAGGCCGGGCGCCGAGGGAGGAGTCCCTGGAGGGGCCGGTGACACCCACAGATCCCCACCTTGCCCACTCTTGCTCGCGGTTCTGCGTCCTCCGAGGAACTGGTGGAGAACATTTTTTTTCCCCGAAGCATGGTGGGAAAACTTGGACTTCTGCGTCAGCAGACGCACTCTGTTCTTTGCCAGCTGCTATGTGATCTGGGACAAGCGCCTTACCTCTCTGTGCCTCAAATAATACAAATTGCCCAGGCTTTCTTCCGTGTGGCGTGCAGAGATTGAAGTAAGAACGTGAGCTTGGTAAGGCACTTTCAAGGTTTATTTTCCCCTTTGATGCTGGGATTGAACCCAGGGTATTGCACGTACTAAGCGTGCTAACCTACGACTAAGCATACCTCCTAACCCTAGATCCATGACCTCGATTACCCGTCATCCTCATACTAATTTGCCAGCTGCTAAGATGAGGAAATGGCACATAACCGACGTGAGAATTCTAGAAGCTGCCCCAATTTGCTGCCCTCAAGCCTGAATCCACCATTTTCTTTCCACCTTGTCAACAACCATTAGTTTAAGCAATGTTCTCAAATTCGAACTAGAAGTACCCATATATCTAAGGGAAAAGACCTACTTTTTTTTTTAATCATGTATTTCAAATCACTATAAAAGAACCAAAAACAAAATGAAAGAATATACCCCGAATTGAGGCTGGGGATGGGGCTCAAGCAGCAGAGCGCTTGCCTAGCAACCGCAGGGTCCTGAGTTCAAACCCCAGTACTGCCAAAAAAAATTTCTCCGAATTGGGATCCAACCAGGTGTTCAACAGTAGAGGAGTGATTGATTATGTACGTTTGTTGAAATAATAACTCTTTCACACTCAATTAGAGCATGCTGGAACCAGGAAACGAGGCACGGTGATACGTGAAACAGCAGAAAGGGCTTTACACAAATTTTGTAGAGATGGGTGAACACATTTACCAACACTAGAAGGAAATAGAGGAAAATGTAAATAATAGTCTGAGTTTTGGATAGTGGAGTTGATTTTAATTATCTCAGCCTTTCTTTATAAGTTGATTTCTGTCAATGCTGGGAATCAATAATAAACATTTAAAAGATCAAATTAAAGTGTTTTGTTTTGTGTAAGTCTAATAATAATAACTGCTATAATCAAGTTCAAATGTGCTCCATGTTTTACACACATCCTCCATTTGATCCTCCAGTCCTTACAGTGGGCGTTTTTTAAGCTCTGTTTTACAGAAAACAATCCCAGGCTGTTCACAGCTGGCCCCAGCCACAGTCAGGATCTGAACTCTAAGCCAGGGTGTTAGGTCTTGCAGTCCACTGCCCTCTGTAGCAGCTTACCGTGTACAGATGATGAGAGGAGCCCCATGTCATTTTAGTTTGTGTCTTTTGGACCTTATTTACTCTATCATTTGATGTGTTTATAAGTTACGGATTATCTTTAAAGTTCTGGCCTCCTGTTACTGTTTTATTCTCAGGGCCAAAATGTTAAGGTCCATCTTTTTAATCTGTTGCATCTGGAGTGACGTAATATTATCATCAGCAATGACAGTTGGTCTTATATCCTAACCTCCTATGTCAGTGGGGCCTTTGGATGCATACACAATCTCTTGAGTCTGTGGTCAAACCCAGCCAAATCTACTGCAAATTAGACCCAGCTGGGACTAATTCTGGTCCAGGTGATGAGGCCAGTCCAGAAGGGACCCATGTAGATGACAGTCCTTGGGCAGACATTCGGAGGCAGAGTCGCAACCCCGTGGAAGTACACGGTCTGTGATGAGAAAATGTGCAGCTGATAGTCCTGATGCTGGTGGCTGAGATAAAGCCAGGGGCTTCAGGAGCAGCCCTCCACCCACTGTTAAAATTCAGAAGCCTCTTAGCTCTCCCTTTTAGCAGTGCTGGAAGACTGTACCCGACCTGGAAATCCAGCGAGCACTAAACAACAAAACAGAGGCTCATTTCACTATAGAGGATAGTTTGCCACTGGTGAAGTCTCGTCACTAATGATGGAGCAGATTCTCACTTGAGGAACGGGATGGGAGTGATAAACAGGCCTAGATGCCATCACTTGGGCAGAAGATCTGGTGGCAGGTACTGCGCACCAGCCATTGGTTGGGGGAATGTGTTAGGAAGCATTTCCTGAAGAATCGCTAAAGACCTGTGACATTCACATCAAGACTCAGGAAGCCTGGACAGTCCTTGAAGTACTTCAGTGGTTGACATGCTACTACTTATGAATTATTTGTGCTGCTGTTAATGCAAGCTCACAAGCAGCTGAAGAATCCAGAAAGACCTGGGGAAATGGTACTGTTAGAATGACATGAAAAGAATACACTGTAAAATGCTACGCTTTGCGTGGGCTTGACTGGGTGAATTACTGGGTTGAACTATTTAATGTTGCCATTGTGTGAGTCAAAAATGATTGAATATGACCAACTTCCTGTATTTCAACTCAATGGGTACACAGAGAGAAAAAAAAAAACCTAGAAAGATCTACCCTAAAATGTTAATGGTGGCTGTGTCTGGGTATTGCATTTAGGGGCAGAGAGGCAGGCTATGGACGGTATATTGCATCTGAAGAGGATTTCAAGTCTTTAGACATCTGTTTCTTTATATTTCTTTTAGAAGTCACTAAATCTCATTTTATAGTAAGCATGTTTCTTTTATTATCAGGAAAAATGAAACTCACTTAAAAGTTGGCAAGCAGAAGAAAGTGAGGTAGAGGAAAACAGTTATTCCAGAATTGTATAAAAATGTGAGAAACAGAAGCTCCTGACATGAAGGTAAAATGGGTCGTGTCCACCAACAAGGAGAGCCCACGATGACAGATGGTGGTCAGTGACCAGTACAGAAAATTCCAGAGACGTATTAGTCAAGCCTAACACCCCTCAGCCCCTGGACCCCACTTTTGGGAAACACAAATTTTGTTCTTTATTTATTTTTCAGGGTTGGGGATGGAACAAGGGCTTGAGAATGCTAGGCAAACATTCTACCACTGACTCATACACACCCAGTCCAAGAAACACAAACATTTAAGCCTAATGTTTTATCCATTGCAAAATATCTTTCTATTACAAAATGTCACTAAAAAGAGTTTTGTTCTGTACAACTGACGAACAAATTCAGCCATGAGGTTATCATTGTCAATTAAGCATTAGAGAATTCATTCACTCATTACTTATTAGGCACCTACTGTGTGTCAGACGGCCCTAATTGTTTGAGAGGCATTGTGAACAGAACAAACAAAAATTCCTGCTCTCATGGGCATGCATTCTAATGCAGTGAGCTATAAGAACAATAAAGAAAAAAGTCTTGATAAAGAAATGAATTGTAGCCAGGCCCTGATGGCTCACACCTG